TAATAACACACACACACACACATATATATATATATATATAAATATATACATATATATATATATATATAGATAGATGTAGATAGATATATAGATGTATAGATATATATATATAAGCATAAAAGTTTATCCTCATAATCACGCCCAATAGCGACTTGATTGTGTACATTAGGAATGAGCATCATGTACCAGAAGGAGACCTATCGATAGGGAATTGAGTTGGTATCTCTGTCGAATTTTGTACATAAATTCATAGTTGTAATAAATTGAAACGTGTATGATACTTTGAAATATATTTAAACTGGACTACATGTATACATATATCCTCTGACACAAAGTTGCAAGCAATTAGCGATACCGTATCATGTCAGTCAAGTTCACAATCACTGATTGAAGCTCATCCTAGAACAAGTAAGAATTTTAGTAGGCTTCTCAATCTACTCGCACGCTGCTATACTAACCCTTTCACAGTAGCGTGGTAATAAGGACAACAACATGGTTCACTACAACCTCCTCAACCTGCCCTGTAACAGCAGCGTGACAAGATACAATCAAACAGCACTCACGCTCTCACGCACCACTCTTGTTTAGCGAATACACCTACTAACCGCAAGCGCACGTGACACAATGTAAGTTTATTACAGTGTCCTGAACTCTCCCTCTATCTGCATGGACCAGTACCGCTCCATCTCAATGGGATCCACCCGCTCGTCTCTGGCCAGCGCCTTCAGTACACCGTGATGGGAGCCTTTGTACGCCTCAGTCGAGGCTGCATAGAACTTTGCTGTAGGGTCTATCTTGGATTCTAACAACAGCCTCTTAACTATGCTTAAGTGTCCCATTGCACACGCCGTCCGTATAGGCTCGTTGTTGTTAGCGGCCGGGTTGACCCGCTCGTCGCTTAGCAACAGCTCCACCACCGCATCCCTACCGTACCTACACGAAAACCTCAGAGCTTCGTCTTGGCGCTCAGCAGGGTCTACACGAGAGTCTTTAAGTAGCAACTCCACCACCTGTATATGGTTCTTCACACACGCAGCACGTAAGCAAGCGTTGTGATCGTACGCTACATTGAGTGGTTTGTCTGATACTAACAGTTGCTCAACCACATCAGCGTGGCCATTGGTGCACGCTCGAAACAGGCATCTCGTATTCCTGGCGTTCAGATCCACACGAGAGTCTTTCAGCAGGCGACCTACTATATCCGTAAAGCCAAACTCACACGCCTTCACCATAGCCTCGCTGTCTTGACTAGTAGGGTCCACACGAGCGTCTTGCAGCAGTACTTCCACCACATCGGTATGGCCGTGTGTGCATGCCAGTACCAGTGCATCGTCCTCTTGTAGTGTGGGATCGACTCGATTATCCGCAAGTAACACCTTAACCACCTCTAATTGACCATTGCCACACGCACTCCTGATCATAAGCCCTTCCTCGGCGTTGGGATCCACACGAAAGTCCTCCAGCAGTGTCTTCACTACATCGACCATACCCAGCACACACGCAGAGGGGCCAGTGCCGTTCTGAGAGGGGTCTACGCGGGGGTCTTGTAGCAGCAGCTTGACAGTACTGATATGCTCATTCTCCGTGGCATAGTATAAGGCTTCATTGTTCACACTAGTGGGATCCACTCGTGAGTCGCGTAGGAGATAATTTACTACATGTGTCTGACCGTGTGCGGATGCCAATCGAACGCACTCGCTCTCAGTGTCACCTGGATTGATATCGGCTTTTGTATCGGCCATGATTGCTTCTACACACTCTAACCACCCCAATGCACACGCATACAGGAACATTTCGTACGATATATCCCATCGGTCTACTTGTTCGAGTGCGCGCATGATCACTCCCGCACCGTCTTTATTGCTTAACGCATGAGCTTTCTTTAAGCTCTTGATAATCGTATCACTTTTCACATGCTTGTTGTCCGATGTAGCGCTAATGGAGTCTAGTATGTCCTCAGCTATCGACTTTGACATGTCTGTTGGCTTCGATACCGTTTCGACAGTGGAAGGCGCCTCCACACTCACTTTCCCTTGTTCTTTTGCTAAAATGCCCATATTTACAGTACCTACTAGTGCCTATGACTGTAATACGAGCGTAACCTATGATCGATCACTCGTATTAATGTACCTTAAACTGATGCTGTGAGTAGACTTATTGTCTACTTTAAAAAAGAACAGGGGGTTCATCTACCGTACAAGTACGCTTTGCTATATATACATAACCATCAGACATTTTGTAAATTTTGAAGTTGAACGTAAACTGTCTTTATTTTATCGGGGGCTAGACGGGTTCACAATAGAGACCGAAATAACTATTTGATAAAAACGTTTTAATCTGTAGCTGGACACCATTTTGGCCTTAATTTTTTTACTGATAAAAATCTCCATAGATCGATAAAGCATGTATGGTGTCATATCGTATCGTATCGTATTATTCGTAGCCTCCAAACAAACAAAACAAGATTTGGTGGTGAGACTGAGACATGTACTTACACACACACCCAACAATACAGAGCGGTTCACCGCCAACCGTATCTTGAAGGTATGTGAATATTTACTGCCTAACCAGTTCGTTTACACAGGTATCTCGTGAACCGGGATATAAACTGATGCATATAAATCCATCGGTATCTGTAGTCAAAAGTATGATAACCATGCCTACCAGTGTGAGAGGTTAAGATCGTTCGGTGGTACTTTTGTACATAAGAAGAACCATGAATAGATGATCATGAACACACACACACACACACACACACACACATCTATATATTTATACACATACACGCACACACACGCACAC